TGACCAACCCCATGCTCTCCCACACGCTAATCGCGACCATTCAAGAGAGCGTCGGGACCGTAACGCACTAGGACTGCACAAGATTCGTCCTCACTACGATACCGATAACAGGGGAACCACTCCTCATTATCTGTTTTTAACGTTGCAATTTTTTCCTTTTAATTTTTGGACTTCAACGCAGAAAAGTAGGTTGTCTCCATTGTGGTTTGAAAAATGTTCAGTTTAGGTTGCTATGGTATATATTTCCCGTAGAGTAAGATGGGAATCAGGTGCACTTAGAACATAACTTTGCCAACGTGAGCACTCCATTGAAACACCAGAGTTTCTTCCTAAACGCCAATCACGGAACTTCAGTGTTGCTGATCCTGTGCTCCCGCCGGCCATAAACAATTTTCTTCAATGTCGCTATAAAGAGCATCAGTTTCCTGTTGCCATCGGTGCGAAGTGGCCAAGTTCCTGATCTATTCAGTGACGATGACCTTATCTCAGCGCACCACACCCGGCCTTTGACTGATGGGCTAATATCCCACCGTGTTCATGAATAATTGATTCTCTGCTTTGTTTATATGTGAAGTAATCTCTTCAGTGATGTGACGACTGGAAGTGACACATCTGCCAAGGTGAGTGAACCGATCGACACTTGATTACTGGCGTCGACGCAGTCCTGTAACGGCGCTGAACTTTGAAGACGCGAGACATACTGAAGCGTGCAATGACATGCGTTAACTTCAACTTGCATAACCGTTAGATTCGGCCCAAGAAGAACTGTGTCATTCGCCTCCACTATTTTTGTTAATTGGCCACAAAGTCGAAGATGAAAGCACCTATAGAACAACTCTGGCGTACCCCATACACACGGAATTCAGGAGACAGCTTTCCAGTCGATCAACCTCAAGAGTCGCGGCTTAGAATATTCAGATTAGCTGCGTAACATTTTGCGGTGCATTTCATATGCTTCGTCAGTGGCTCGCAACTACCCTTCTCTTTTCTTACTGCTCTGCAACATGCTATTTGGCGACCCACTTTGTTCCTTCCTTTCTCTGTGACATATCTATACCCCGAGAGTAAGTGTACTGGTTTTGTTATTTTAATGTATGTAAGACTCACCCGAAATTACAAGTTGTTTTGTTCAAAGTTTCACCGTTGGGAACTTAACCAGTGGTTCAAACCTTTTTCCCACCGATCGTAGCATTACTGAAATTTTATTTTTCTTAACAGTGCCAAATTCATTCGTTAAATTTTGTTGTTTTCCACTTTTTCACTATGGTAACCTTACGACTTAGGGAAGAGATAAATATCGCATGCAGCTAGGTCCGGGCTGAATAGAAGTTGTGGGGATGTTTTTCTCCAAAAATTCTCCCAACTGAAAGCGCTTTATGAGCAGGTGCCTTATCGTGCTGCAGCACCCAACCATCTGCATTGTCCCTTCGGACTCGCTGGACACATTTTTGTAGTCATTCTAAGACGCATTTATAACAGGCCTCATTAACTGCTATCTATCTTAGAGGCACAAATACTTCGTGCGAACTCCCACGGCTGTCGAAAAAGCGACAATCATTGTTTTCGCCAACACAGCTCACACAACTTCCACATTTTGATCGTTTGCTGAAAATATTGCCCTTTCGGACCGCGGCTCGTCTTCACAATTTTCTTAACCATCTGTGAAAGCTTTCTAGCGTCTGAAAATCCTATTTCCAGATAAAGTGGCATCTTTATAGACTTCCGTTAAATCGTCAGATTTCTCGAGTTTCACATAAAATTTGATAGCATACCGTTGGTTGACATTTTATTGCATCGCAAACTGCCCCGTAGCGCAAGAATCACAGCCGACCGAGTTGAAACAAGTCTAGATATGCAGCTAAGCTCTCTACCCATCGCTGATATCCACGAATGAGATCAAGTCAAGCTGGAATAGGCTTTATGAACTCGACTGGAAACATATTCAGCATTTTACACTAGCTCTGCGGATGTTCTGAGGCATTGCGCAAGCATGAAATTGCAATAAAAGCGTAAAAAGAACAAAACATGCATCCACTTCATTCAAGTAAGTGTTTACTCTTAGTGTTGAATAAGTTTCTTCGAGTTTAAAAGAAAACGGGACAAATACGATAAGATAGAGTTGTGCTAATGTGTTCTTGAAGAAAACAATTTTAAATTTAAATCGAGTAAACGTGCAACCGAGGGCTTTAGATAAATCGTCGTGAAAGGAATAAAAAAGGTCATTTAAAACATTTACTGACAAGTTGTCACATGCACCAAGAGGGCTTAGTAACGATGAAGTCAACCAGAGACTTTCGTAATCCACAACACTTGGAAATGAGCTTAGTGAAAAACGCATAGTCAACGTGAAGTTTTTTTTACAGACCAAGTAAAATGATAGGTAAGCAATATAACTAATGGGAAAGAATGCAGACAGTCACGAATTTGTGAATTAAACAACATGGTACAGAGAGCATTGTGAGTCTCAGGGCGAAACGTTTCGTCAACGTGTGTTGACCAAGATAGCTTATGAGATGTGTACACCAAGATAATAATGGATGAAATGGGTATGTTCTACTCACTTGGAGCGAGAAGTGTTTGAAGCAGTCAAACGTTCGTCAGTGCGAAGAAAAGTGAAGTTACGTCGCGCCATTTTGAATCGTTGATAATAAAGGTTCGGAACGACGACCACCGTTGAATCTCCTCCGACCCGATTTGGATAGCCATTGATGATTCAGCAGTTGGAGAAATACTGCGTAAGACTATATCGTCAGGGTACTTACATCTAATGAAGTTGGGGATGAGAATAGCAACATTTCAACGGTTAGACAGAGTAGAGGAGGAAAGAGGATTGCTTCTTGTAGGACGCTCCAATCATCACTAAGTGTCGGATTTTTTTTTACCTTTTCTCTGGGTAACATGAGTTCGGTTTACGACGTAGTCACTCATCAGCTTTCGCACTGCTGTGGCCAGCCACAGGATGTCTGCGCCTACAGAGGGACCATGGATAGTTTGCGCTGCACCACCCATAGTTCCATCCACACACCCGATACCCAGTGTAAACCCGAAGGAATAAGGCCGGGAGGAATCCGGATGAAAGCCACGTTTCATCAACGGAGCCGGCCCACACTCCTTCACAGGCAAACACAGGCACGCTGTGTTTTGGGGAATCAAGTGCACACAAGACGGTGGCTGGACCGTAGTCCGCTCCACACTGAGTGCATGGAACCATTCTTTGATCCTAGCACGGCCACAAGTACCGTGCACCAATTTACACTCAAACTAGGTCTTTTTAAGCTGAATAAACTTTTTTTCCATTTCCTTTGGTTTGTTCTATCTACCTGACTAATCTTCTATTAACTGGCCACGTTGCTTACACTACTTATGTTTATCTTCGTTAACTTTGCGTTTGTAATATTTTTTGACTAACTTCTGGACATTTTGTACCTGTCGCGGATTCGTTACTAGCCAACTTACTTCATATGCTAATTTAGGGAAGAGTTATGTCTGCATACGCATAGGCCTTAACAGATATATTTTATTTGACAATGTCATTTCAAGTGACTGGCTGTTGTTTGACATCGCAGGTGTGACTGCGCTTGATGTGCACCTTGACAACGTGCGTACCTGTCTATTACCCATCACGTCGTCCGTACTGGCTCCAGGAGACAGTTGGTCGTTGATGGAGGGGACGAGGTGCACGGTCCTTGTGGTCTTGCTAGGTTCGAAGGTTGTTTCCATTCACTCATTGTGGTGCGAATTCCGATTCAACCACTTCCTTGTGTACGGTAGCTTCCCAACTACAGCGTGCTTTTGTTTGGCTGTGAAGGAGTCCGGGCCGTCTCAGTTGATGAAACCTGGCTCCCATGCACATGCCTCCCGGTCTTATTCCTTCTGTTTACACTGGATATGGGGTGTATGGTTGGAGCTATGAGTGGTGCAGCGCAAGCCCCCCATGGTCCCTCTGTAGGCGCAGGCGTCATGTGACTGGCCACAGTGACAGGGAAATCCGAAACCGGATGTCGCCAACCATATATATATATATATATATATATATATATATATATATATATATATATATAAAATCTTCCTGATTGTCATGCTGATTTATTTCTCATTGTGGTGTGGTCACCCGTGCCTAAATCACTCTCGTACTCCTCAATTGGTGTTCTCTTTGGCTTCAAGCTAACAACACCTCACGCTTTTCTCTTGTTCTTGCTGATGGGCAACATTTTCGTGCTCTTTTGTTGTTCATTTACTTTCATTGCTGACTCGTGTTTGACGTTTTGTCCACAGCAGTATGCCATATCTGACAGTGCTTGATTTGTGTGTATGTTCACAAGCTACCTTCCGATACATACACCTTAGCAGTTGCCAATCGTTGATGAGAGAGCCAAGACACCACTACCCCTTACACTTCAGTCCTAGTTTTCATCATGAAGCGGGACCACAGCCTTGTAACCATCTTTTCCCTGTGGATTCCATTACATCGTACATTGGCAAAGCGCGCATTGAGGTCTTGCGAGCTGGCTGCGAGTCATTTTTTGGATCTCATCCATTTGCTTTTCAGTCTTATCCCCCTCTAGCTTTTACTGGATTTGTGGTTTCAGCAAAGTTTCTATCATCTCTTTGTAGTCTCAGCTGTCATGCAGTTCACGTTAACTGGCCAATTTGTAAACTGATGGAACCAGCTTTTTTTCTTCGCTGTTCATCCTGATGAACGAGCTACTTTTTTGTCAGGCCATTCTGTTGCCACTGAGTACAGTTTTATTTCTTTGTGATTCGAGGCGCACTGCCTAACATTCAGTCATCGATGTAACGTTTCGATCCTGTCTTGTGTTATGTGTGGTGGTGCCGTGTGTGTTCTAAGCGTTGCTCCCGACATGCGCTAACCTTTTCACAGGCTTTGTGATATTTCTTCCTTTCCGCTTAAATATACCCTCGCTCAAGCTATCTGCAACATTGTATGTTATAGAATCTTCCTTCTCACCGCTTCCTTCTCTCTCTGTGTCCCCATTTAGGAGGATCTCGATGTTGGCGAGAACTCTAAGTTATGGGATGAATTTGACTTGATTGGCACAGTGAGCGACATCGAAGAGGAGGATTCGGACGTCGATGGCGTAGACACTGTGTCTATCCGAAGCACACCGAAGCCAACGCTGCGCCCGTTTTTTGCCACTGCCGGAGGTGGTGGTTCGGACGAAACTCTAAGCGCGGTAAGTTCCAAATCGTGCCTATCCTCTTCCCAGTTACTCCCTATACTGCCCCGGGATGCTATTTTGGTAACTGTTGACATCGTTTCATTGTTATGCGCATTAGACAGCTATATGGTGGTCCGCAGGTGTCTGCTTTTCGTTCTACAGTTCCTTCGGTTTCGCTATCGTAGTAGTGTTTTTTATTCGCGTCAGATCTACCTTCGACATCAGTTACGAGGATGCACAGTTTATTACTACATTATTACATGGATCATAGTTACTTGACAATACATCTACAGTAGAACTGCCGTATTTGATCGTTTATTTACGTCCACCGGTTGCCTGACCACTTCGCTCCAGTATTGAGTTTTACTGCATGTTTCAAACAATTATGCACATGAAGTTTACTTCCATACGAGATCTACATTGTCCACCCACTTGTATTGAATGATTTAACTTCATATTTGACTTTTATCTAGCTACCGTAGATTTTGGGTAATCTTTGGTGTTATGTAACACCGTTCCCTTCTATCTCTCAATCACACTTCACACGTTGCAATCCATTGGCTTGCGCTCTTAGGAGAACGAGCGACAAGCGCTAGAGTTACGTGACTGGAAATATTTTGGCACCCATCCCTATAGCACTTGAGATGTATGTGTGCGTTTGGAGTTTTTCTCAAAAACTGAAGCCTTAACCTCTGTTCATACAATGTCGGTATACGCCGTGACATTGATTCAAGAGTGTTGCGGTAGGAATTCCGGAATTGTCATGTGAGTTTCTTTGTTGACAACTCAGAAACCAGTGATGGTTGACGCGAAATCTTTGTGTGCGGAATTGTTAGCCACAGAAAAACCAAGGACATAGAGAGCGACACGGGACAATTGGATCGCAGGCTTTGCTCGAGGTGAACATCGCCAATGATCGAGAGGAGGGCTTGCACAATCGGCGACTACTTGCACAGCCGTGACATTCGCGGGAACACACCTGTGGTCTGGACATCGTCCAGTCACTTAAAGCCCATTACTTTAATAAAAATTTCCAGCACTGGGCAGGTAAAGCTATGCTGTGTTTAGTGGAGTCATGATAGCATGCACTGATCCAATAGCCGAGTAGCTGAATTCGTTGGCCCACATACAATACGCGCAGGTCCATAGAGTGACAGGAGCCAACTGGATCGCCACCTATCAACCTCATCATTTACGGTCCAAGTGATCGAATTGGCCAAGGTTTAATTCAGTAGCAATCGCGGTCCGCATTGAGATGGCGCATCGTGATCTTATCTCAAAACGAATGCTTCACTACGACCTTCCAATGCTATTTAACATTTGTTTAAGTCATGACAGACTACGCGATTGGGTAGTCTGACTTTCCAATAGTCACACCTACACAAGTCTATGTGTAATGTCAGACGCGCATAAACTATGAGAAGACATATGGGGAGATCGGGGAGTATTCAGTCACCGCTTTTGATCGAGGCGATTGAGGTTCAGGATCAAGAGAAGAGTTTGCAGTGGTACCCGCTGGTTACACAATTCGTTTGCATTAGCATGACTACACTTTAGTCGGAACATCGTCCAGTCGTCTTACTCCCCATTTCTTGCAAGTGAATTGCTGATTTTCCGCTTCAGACCCAATGTGTCCAAAGTGGTTTGAAAAATGTTCCATTTAAATTGAGAATTATATATATATATATATATATATATATATATATATATATATATATATATATAGTTAAAAGGCCACAACCGCTTGCGTGTGTGCGTGTGACGGATTCGAAGGAACGCTAATGATTCCCTTAGATTAGTCGCCTACCCTCAAGCATTCTCATGTTAAAAGCCAGCGGTAGTGATGACGCCGCTAGCGTGAATGGGCTGCGTTCACTCCTGGCTACCAAGCGCTTGCTGCTTACAATATTCCACATTCGTTCGTGCATTCGGTGGAACAAATTGCGTGTAGTGATCAATAACTATACCTGGAGTCCAATGACTCGACAACGCTTGCTCGATTTGGAATGCAGTTTGGAAATTCGGGGTTCAAGGTCCCACAATTTTCGTTGCAAGCACTCACACTTTGGCTCGTCCGTGTGATTTGCCTCGGTTCTACTAGGACTGAGGTATGCACATATTGCACTTGAGTGGTATTTTGTTTAATTGTACCGTAGTTAACGTCTTGGTTGGACCAGGGCGTTTTTACGTGTTACTCGAGACTCACAATGAGCCTGTAGTCTACATACATAGCTTCTCGCCACAGTTGAGTATACAGCCACGTCCGCCAACGGTTGGGTACTTGGGTGTTATGCAGGCTACTTCTTGTAAATTGGCTAAAACAGTTTGAGCACTTTTTCGAGTGCCGAATGTTGGACAGGACGCAGTGGGATTTGCTAGATATATTCGTTCTGTGATCACGTCCTTGCGATTAGCAGATGATCTGCGATATTACCGCCTTCTAACTCATATAACAGACGACATCTGCAGCACACACACACACTAACGATAAGACATTACTGTTTGTATTGTACCTCTTATTTGTCCATCATTTTCTACCTGGTAACCGTATTGATGGCAGTTGTTTCCCTATTCCTATATCTGTCTCTAGCTGTTGTTGATGCTCACACTTCTGACTATATTAATAACCGCCACTTTTAGGTTAACACTTCCATGTTAACTAAACAACAACAGTCGTATTGGTTGCTTAGATAATTATACGTGAGATCTTCCAGCACAAGTGGAATATGGCTGTTTTTCTTACATTCAATTCATACTCGCGCACGTTCATAGTGTTGTTGCTCATGGGAGTTATTGTTTCTCCATCTAGTTTGTGGTTGTCCATACACAAGTGTGAACAAATACCCGTTCGCAACACTGCAATACTGCAACTCAAACCAGGGACCTGTGGTATGTCAACTGATATCTCACGTTGAATGACTAAGTGGAAGCCACTTAGAAATACCTGTAAGCGCCACACTTCAGCCTGACATACTGATGGCATTTTCACTCGCGTAACACCATTATCTGCTGGCTCGATGTGACTCGCCTAAAGTACAAATCCTGCTAACATCTGTTCGTGTCTCGATACATTCCCACTTGACAGATGGATCTTATTACACTTCTTCTCATGTGACACCGTGACTTATGAGGGGTTACAATATGAGGTCAATGTATCCCATCCCCCTTGTACTGCTGCCGGCTTCAGATAGACCCACTGAGCTTCAGACAAGGTTGATTCCAAAACAGCGGCAATACGTTGTGACATCTGAATCGAAATGCTTGGGTACAGATAGCATTCTAGACACTGATGAATTGGTCGAAATATGCTAGTGGTCAGAACGAATGACTAGGGGGAAATAAATAGTAACACACGACCGACTGCCTGGTGGTTCTACATCTCTGCTGATTCTCGCTCACCTCGGACAAGAGACGATTATAACCGGCTCTGGTTTTACCTAACGATACGGATAGCCTGCACTGAACATAATCTCACCATTTCCCTGCTAAGTTGAAAAGTTGCTTACGCCATCTCCGTCATTTTCTTTGTGTCATCCTTATTCCATTATATCCCACATGTAAGTCGCGTATGGGTACAGGTTCATTCTAGAATGATTAACTACTGACTTGGTGCAATGTGGGATCTTTATTGCATATGCCTAGAGTGTATGAGCCACAGCTAACATAACTTCATTTGATTTATTTAACTCGGTTGTATTACGCGATGACTTCACATGTTGCCCATTGCAATGTTGTACTCATCATGACCTATGCTATGCTATTCTTGCTAACTTCTCAAGCGGAGTCTAGTATGGTGACATACCGAGACAGTGAGCTACAGTATCTTTCTCTTCGCATTATTATTATTCGGCCGCGTTTCACATAGTATTACTCACCAGACTGTGCTATCTACATTCTGCTCCTTGGAATCGATTTGTAGATTATATAACCATAGCTTGACCAGCTGCTCAATGCTAACTAGTATGACGTTTAGAGAGCCGGTGCATCGCCGACTAATGGTTCAGTCCATCCATGAGCTCATTCGTAATTGATGTGCGCGCGGTGTTTCCGAGCGCTTTGTGTGCTTGATGCGGATCAATGCTAGGGTGGCAACTTATTGTGTAGGTTTCCAGTTCGATGGCTACGTTTGAATCAGAAGGTTATCATCGCTTGCCCGCTTACAGTACGCATAAAGTGTCAAGTGTGATATTTGGAACACAATACCCAACGATTATCCCTCGTATGACGACATTGGATTATACATACGAGGAGAAATTTCCCTGGAAATTCTGTGTCAAGTGAACAATCCCGACAATTAACCGACTAGCGATGATCACCATGTTTTCATTTCATGTTCCATTCCGCAGGCTAGTGATAAGAGTGAGCATGGTTATAGTTCCAGTTGTCTCTCAGCCATACTGAATTTACCGGGACATATGAAAACACACGTACTAAAAGGATGGAAGTCAGACGCGTAGAGACGCCTACCAGAAGTTGCATTACGCATGGACAACCTTTTGAATGGAAGGTTGAACCTAACGGGAATGGTACTTCAGTGTGTTTGTATATTACATCGGAAAAGAATCCAGACATAGCGACAATCATTTTATGAGCACCAAATGTGTTCACCCGAAACGTACGATATAGATCGTTAGCAAATATCTTATGGCCACAGTAGAGTACATGTCAGTAGGTACAAACGATTGAATAGTTGAACATTTACACAAAAATTGCGAACACTGTATGGAAAGTCGCATGTTTGACAGTGGGCGGCGGGACTTAGTTGATGTCACCTGTCAATACCATAGGGTGCGCATCAATCGTTCTTTGAGTAGGTGTACATACCTTGGGCAGCACATAATCGAACCGGTCGGAGACACAGAGCCAGAAATGAACACTGTATCACATTCGCATGCTGCGTGATCTCCCCCATCAGCTACTCAAACCAGACTGTACATGTAGGGAACAGCACCTAAGTGCACACTATTTCACTGTACCAGTAGTCTAGTCATCATTCTACTTAGCAGTTGCTTCAC